AAAGAGCACACAGTCTAATTTACCCTGACCATTCCTCAGAAGGGGTGGCAACTGGTCCTACCCCCAGGGAAGGCGAGGGGCCACACTACACCTTGGATTCTTTAGTGCCCATTCCCAGCGGGTGTAGAAGGGGATGACCTCGACTTCCATTACTCTGCTATTTTCAGGATTCAGGTCAGGATTCCTAGCTGTGTGCCAGAGTTCCAAGAATACAAAGATGAACAAGAGACAGCCTCTTCCCTCCTGGTGCTCACAGGCTGCTAGGAAAGAAAGATCAGCAATTACTATTGGTTTTGCAGTAAATTGGCAGCAATCACTCAAATCCTAATGGCTCAACAAACATTATGTTGGACCTTTTCCAAGTGTCCCCTGAAAAGACTGTCTTTCAGTGTTATTACACAGCCCTCTGTGATTATTCACCAGTTCCCCTTTTGTGGATTTTCTATGAATTATAATGTACCTGAAGACTTCTCCAAATGCTTCACCTACACAGCCACCTAGAGTCAACACTACCCTCCACCCGCAGAGATGAGCCAGCTGAGGCTCAGAGGGGATTACGTCACTCTTTTTCAAATGGAACGGAATCATATAGTGGTTCACTGGCTCTGCAGATGGCTTCTTAGATGAGGAATTTTTTCCTCAAATAAAGTCTTAAGTGGAAGCTGAATATGTAATCAGATAAAGGCAGAAGTGTTCTGGTTGAAGGAGGAATACTTTCTACTCTATGATCCACACCCACTCCCAGGACCCAGAGGCACCCAGGAAAAGTCCCAAGCGACCCAAGGAAGGTTGGAACGTAGCCTCTAGCTGGGTGGCCATGGGCTAAGCAAAAACTATCACATTTTAGAGGTTTCATTTTAATTGGATTTGTTAAGTTTTGAGATGCTTCTTAGACAGTTGGATAAATTAGTTTGGAACCCAGAGGAAAGGTGGGACTTAGAGATATGAATTTGGGTGTCAGTGGCACACAAATGGTATCTTACTGTCTAGGGATCACTGAGGTCATCTGGGAGGAAGTGTAGATAAAACATAATAGAGGATCCAGGACTGAACCCCACAGCACTCTGATCTTAGAGGTTGAGAAAACGAGGAAGATCCAGCAAAGAAGACTCAAAGGAGGGTCTGCTTCAGGCAAGCCAAGTGAAGAGAACGTTCCAAAAAGGAGGAGGTGACCGACTGTGCCAAATCTGCTGAAAGGCCAACAGATGAGGACATAATGGTGACTGTTGGATTTACAGCTGTTCATTGGTCACTGTGATGAAAGCAGACTAGTGAAGTGGTTGGGATGGTGACTGATTAGATTGATTTGAGGAGGGTATAGTCAGAGTATTGCTAGATTGTGCTGGGGTAACAAATCACCCTTGAAATCTCAGGGGCTTAACACAATGAATGTTTATTTGTTGCTTAAATTAAGCCTGCTGTGGGTCTGGTGTCTTGTAATTATGCCTTGTAGTATCTACATTCTCTATCTTGTAGCTACGCCATCTAGCATATTTCAAAGGTCACTCTGCAGGAAAAAAAAAAAGAGAGAAAGAGAGAGAGATCTCTTACTTACTCTTAAATCCCCTACACCAGAACTAGGCCTTTGACCAGAACTAGTGGCACGGCCCTGCTTAACTGCAAAGGGCTGTAAATCTTCCTGTGTGCCCAGGAATGAGAGGAGAACCAGCCCAGGAGACCTCATGTAACTTTTACCACAGGGAGTAATGTATGTGAGAGATGGAGAGCGTGACCATAGAGGCTTCTTCCAAGATTTCCCATGAGGAGGACAGTGGCTGGAAGGGGACAAAGAGTCAAGAAAGGGTATTTTAAAGATGTTCATGGAAAAGATTCAGTAGAGAGGGAGAAACTGATGGTGCAGGAAAAGATTCAGTAGAGAGGGAGAAACTGATGGTGCAGGAAGACGAGATAAATGTAGATCTGAAGTCAGCCCTTGAGAAGGCAAGAGGATAGGATTCTGAGCTTAAGAGGAGGTTTGCCTTCAGTAAGAACAGGGACCTTCCTTCTTTTTATTTTTTTATTTTTATTTTATTTTATTTTGTGAGGAAGATCAGCCCTGTGCTAACATCTGCCAATCCTCCTCTTTTTTTGCTGAGGAAGACTGGCCCTGGGCTAACATCCGTGCCCATCTTCCTCCATTTTATATGGGAGGCCGCCACAGCATGGCTCGCCAAGCAGTGCATCGGTGCACGCCCGGGATCGAACCGACGAACCCCCGGCCTCCGCAGCGGAGCGCGCGCACTTAACCACTTTAGCCACCGGGCCAGCCCCCCTTTCTTCTTTTTAAAAAGAGAAGGCAGGGCCGGCCCCATGGCTTGGCGGTTGGGTGCTCGTGCTCGGCTGCTGGCGGCCCAGGTTCAGATCCTGGGCGCACACCAACGTACCGCTTCTCTGGCCATGCTGAGGCCGCGTCCCACATACAGCAACTGGAAGGATGTGCAGCTATGACATGCAACTATCTACTGGGAAAAAAATAAATAAATAAAATTATTTAAAAAAATAAAATAAAAAGAGAAGGCAGAGAGTGTGCATACAAATGTTGGTGGTTGGTGGAATAGATGGGGGGGAAAGATCAGGTAGTTCTCATCTGAGTGCTTCCATGTTCTCAGCCATCACCAGAAGAGAATGAGGGTGGGAGAGAGGGGAGGTTGGAGATTTGAGAAGACGGGTGAAGGTTGGCTGGCTAATTTCTACCTACTCCTGGCTTGGATGTCATGATTTGAAACAGCCTTCTGTATAGGAGCCCTCTTCTGCCTCACTTTAGACACTCTTGGCCTTGCACAGTCTTGTCTTCGCTGCCGTGGAGTGATCGGTTCTCTGATGGGGTCTGACTGAGTTCATGCTAATGCACACGACAGAGCTCGTCTCTGATCACCTCTCATCCCTCTTGTCTCCTGCCCTGAGGACTCCTCTTAGTGCTATGAATACCCAACTCAGAAGCATGGGGGAGATACAAAGATTCACCTAGTAGAAAACAAGAGCTGGTAGCTAAATACTTTCCCTTTTTCTACTCCTTGGACGAGCCTGACACGTAGTTTATGAGGGTTTATATATTTTCTCCCATTCTGTAGGTTGCCTTTTCACTCTGTTGACTGTGTCCTTTGATGCACAGAAGTTTTTGATTTTGCTGTAGTCTAGTGTATCTGTTTTTTCTTTTGTTACCTGTACTTTGGTGTCATAATCATGAACTCATTGCCAAATCCAATGTTATGAAGCTTTCTCCCTGTTTTCTTCTAAGAGTTTTTATGGTTTTATCTCCTAACATTTAAGTCTTTGATTCCTTCTGAGTGGAAACAGCCCAAATGTTCATCAACTGGTGAATGGATAAACAAAATGTGGTGTTTTCCCACAATAGATTATTATTCGAGTATAAAAAGGAAAGAAGTACTGATACATGCTACCCTATGGGTGAACTTTGAAAACGTTATGCTAAGTGAAAGAAGCCAAAAACAAAAACCACATATTGTATGATCTATTTATGTGAAATGTCCAGCATAGGTAAATCCATAGAGATAGAAAGTAGATTAGTAGTTGATGGAGGCAGGAGAGGAGGGTAAATGGGAATGACTGTTAGGTGTTATGGGTTTCTTTTTAAGCTGATGAAAATATTCTGAAATTAGATAGTGGCGATGGTCGCACAACTTTGTGAATATACTAAAAAACACTGAAGTGTATACTTGAAAAGGGTGAATTTTATGGTATGTGAATTATTTCTTAATAAAAATTAAATAAAAATAGAATAAAATTCTACCTTGTCCATTGTCCTTGAATAAAGTCTATGTACACCTTTCTCAGAAAGATTTGACTATTATAACAAACCAACCACATAATGCTTGCAAAACTCCCATGATAAATCTGTCCAAATATTGCACTAACTTTTTTCTCCTTAATTTTTTGAGTATATAACATACATACAATGAAGTGCACAACCTTTATTGAACAGCCCAATGAATGTTTGTATATGTAGGCTCCCTTCACCCAGATTGAGAGGATATAGAACGTTCTGGCACTGTGAAAGGCTCATCTTGGCCTCTCTCGGTAACAAGCACTCCCATCTCCACCCCCCCGCCCCGAAAGGTAACCACTGCTCTGTAACTCTAGACTAGTTTTGCCTCTTCTTGAGCTTCATAGAATTGGAATTATAAACTCTGGTATCTGGCTTCTATCGCTCAATATTATGTCTGTGAGATTCATCCGTGTTGTTGCGTGTGGCTTTAGCTCAGTCATTTCATTGCCTTTTTGCATTCTATTATATGAATAACCACATTTTATCCATTTTACTATTGATGACATTTGGGTTGTTTCCAGTTGGGGGCCATTATGAATAAATCTTGCTTTTTGGTATTAATATTGTTATAAAAGGACAAAGAAGAATCTTCCCTTCGAGCCTGTCCAAAGGAGATTTGAACCTATGCTTGGAGGTCATTATTGCCCATCGTATCTGCCCCAGGAGAGGTATCAAAAGGCCCCAACCCACCCCTTCCCTCTCACATAATTTGAAGCAGGTGTCTGGTCCTAGCAAAACACTGTCAGCCTCTTCAACACGGGGAGGGACGAATCTGCTCACACATGTTAAGAAAGAAGAAATTTCACAAGCATTTGGCTGAACTCATGTACTAATATCTAAATGCTGAGTAACGTAGAGTAAAAAAATTAAAAGGCAGCCAAATAACCCTTTGGCTCATTTTTAAGTCTCTTGAGGTGTTCTGAAAGCTCCTTCTTTTTCTTAAGTTTATTTCAAACAAGGTGAAATTGAGACCTAGCAAGAAGGCTAGGATTTTGACTTGCCCAATACAAGGCTTTTCCTACTTATTCAGCTGAGGAGGGAGGATTCTAAGACTTTCTCTAAGGACCCTTTGAACTCTGGAAGTCCTAGCTTCCACCTGTTGATTGGAGCATCCAGGAGGGGCGTCTGGGAGCTGGCGACGCCCTGTTTGATGTCACAGGCCTTTGTGAGGCAGCCTGATGCTGCATTTTGATCTCTACCACACGGGCAGGGAAGCCAGGCACAATCAAGTATTTGCTCAGCATCCAGGCACCACAAAGTCAGCCATTCAGGAAAAAATCCACTTTTCAGATCATTTCGCATAGACTCCTGCCTTATTTTGCCTATGACTCAGCTTGGAAAATACGTCAACAACAAAGCAGCCAGCGCAGTTGTCTCAGTGGTAGGGGGGTGAACTCGGTGGGCTGAAAAAGTGGGACAAAGATGTCAGGGGGGCTCTTTCCACTTAGAATCAGTGGAAGCAGCGCATCAAATCACTGAATCTTGAATGGGAGGCTGGCTCTGGGGATCAGGATTAAGAAGATCTGATTTTCTGAAAGGGATTATGGCTATTGGGCTGGGTTATGCCACCCTAGAGGTGGACCAGGCATCATAATGGCTTTAGTTCTTGAAAATCGGGACCAATTTTCATTATAATCACGTTTGTGCTTCTTAAGATTTATACCAAATGAATGTATTCCTTATTCAAAAACACTAAATAGAAAAAAGCCCTTCGTGGCATCAGAAAGTCATAGATCTTACATGGAGATCAGTATCAAGATCGCCCCAGGAAACCAAGAGGTTACAAATACTGATTTTCTCCAGAAAAATCAGTTATGACATTATCTAATGCATGGCCATGTTATCCTGACTCTAAAAACTCACATGTTAAAACAACCTGGATTACCACAAATCCAGATTTAGTTCAGGGTTTGGGATTTCAGTGTGTGCATGTATGCGTGTGTGCGCATGTGTTAGTAATTACTGGCAGCATTCTTCTCTTCTTTCCTGGATTCTTTTAATTAACTCTCAGGGTTTTTTAATGCATTTAAATTTTCATTTGTACATGAAAGTAAATCATCATTGAAATGTGTTTTACAAATTAATTCTAGCATGTGAATTCAACATATTTTAGTGAAGAAAGTAATTGAACATGATCTCCTTCTGAGAATACAGAGTTGAAAGTTGCACCCCTCCTAGATCTATCTCCTCAAGATCTGTCTCTTGGTAAGAGATGTTTTCTGCATTTTGTGGGAGTGTGGGGGTGGGTATGGGGACTGCGGGAAAGATGAGGTGCATATTCCAGAGACCTAGGGGTCCTCTGCTTTAAGAAAATGTAATATAAGAAAACTTATATGGGGCTGGCCCTGTGGCATAGCGGTTAAGTTCGGGCACTCCACTTCGGTGGCCCGGGGTTCACAGGTTCCGATCCCCGGCACGCACTGACACACCACTTGTCAAGCCATGCTGTGGCAGCGTCCCATATAAAGTGGAGGAAGATGGGCACGGATGTTAGCCCAGGGCAAATCTTCCTCAGCAAAAAGAGGAGGATTGGCATCGGATGTTAGCTCAGGGCTAGTCTTCCTCACACACACACAGAAAAAAATAGAAAGAAAACTTATATTAGTGAAATAAGAAAATTGGGGGGAGGGGTATTTTCATAAGTGTTTACACATAAAGAGAATTTTCCCCTAAATTTTCTTTTTTTTAGGAAGATCAGCCCTGAGCTAACATTCATGCTAATCCTCCTCTTTTTGCTGAGGAAGACCGGCTCTGAGCTAACATCTATTACCAATCCTCCTCCTCTTTTTTTTCCCCCCAAAGCCCCAGCAGATAGTTATATGTCATAGTTGCACATTCTTCTAGTTGCTGTATGTGGGACGCGGCCTCAGCATGGCTGGATCCGAACCCGGGCCGCCAGTAGCAGAGCACGCGCACTTAACCGCTAAGCCACGGGGCTGGCCTACCCCTAAACTTTCTTAGTATAGTAGAAACCTTCTAAAGAATATGGATTTATTTTATTTTTCAGTAATAATCTTATCATACAAAGTCATGTGTATATTTTGTGCATTAAATTTGGTTGCCTCCCCTCACCTATTTTCTCCTTTAACTAGCTTCTAATTGCTTCTAGTTTTTGGAGAAAGTTAAAACAGAAGTCTCTCAAAATGTAGACATTTAATAGGAAGATGTGGTGGTGATATAAGTTAAAACAGCTTCATTCTCTTTTCAGCTGCTTTAATCCACCCATTTCCCCTAGTTAGAAGTTATCTTCCTCTTTTATACATTTGACACTTTTTCTTTGCATAATCAAAGATTTCATTTTTAAAGTGTTATTCATTCAATCAGTGAGCCTTTACTGTGCAATCAAGATCTTGGTCAGGGTGTTAAATGCTGTGTCCTGGGAGAATGCCCCATATTCATAAACTCCACCTAATCCAACTTTCTATCCCATCCCCTCCTTGGATCCAGAATCCTCAGGACTCAGCCCATGCCCAGGCCCCCGACTCCCCCTGCGTCGTGAGGCCTGGGTTCTACAGTCCCTTGGGGAACACTTTCTTTCCTCCCTGAGCAGGCTGTGCTGTAATCTGACCCTAGTCATTGATCTGGTGGCCAGGCAGGGACTTGAGGGTGATCCTGAGGGAAGATATGTGTTGCCTTGCAAATGCAGAGGCCTCTGTATCATCCTCAAGCAGAGAAGGAGAGCTAGCCTTTAACAGGGAGGAGTGGGCCATTTCTGTGGGCCCAGAGGGTCCCCATGGATCTCAAGTTTCAGGTGTGCCTCCACCCACACATCTCCATCCCAAGTCTCAGTGTCTCCCTCCTCCCCAGGCTGGAAGACTGGCCAGGGTTGAGAAGTCAACCTTCCCTGGAGCTCATCCACCCTCATGTCAAGCCCTGCACATGATTCCCAGCCTTCTCCACCGTTTGGTTGTAGATGAGAGTCTCTATAGGCTGCCCACTTACTATGATTTTTTGCCTTAAATTGGTGACTCATCACCCTCAGCCTTTCATTGCCTTTCTTAGCATCTAACAAGAGCCATCTGATTCCACGGTACTTATAATGACTCCTCCCTGCCCCCATCTCTCAAAGGCGCCAACCAGAACCTTCCTTTCCACCAGTATTCCCTCCCAGTTCACCACCAGTGAAGTTTTAACAAGTATACTGTCTCAGCATGCCGGGGCTATCAGAATGCTGCCTTTCCACCAGCAATGCGGGCCTCAGGGCCGGCTGCTGAGGGGTGACCCAGCAGCCCCCAAATCCCATTTTAGAGTCTGTTTCTCAGGACCACCCCCACTACCAAGAGTTGTAGGTCGAGTTCCCCAGGAAGCAGACTCTGAGACTGAGATTTGCAGGCAGGCACTTTACTGGCGTGGATTTGGGGACAACCTGCAAGTGAGGGAAACTGGATCAAGCAGAGGAAGAGGGTGGACTGCGAGTGGTTGCAAGAGGGGCCTCTGCCAATCCCATGGGCCGCCCTGGGCCTGATGGGTCTTCAGAGTCGTCCCACATTGAGACAAGGGGGTTGGGCCTATCAACCACTCTGAGTGGGAGTTCCCTCAGGGAAGGAGAACCTTGGGCAAAGCAGCTTGCCTGCACCAAAGGAAATTCTGGAGAAGAGACTCAGCTGTGAGCCTTCAGCAGCCCATACTCCTAGCAGTAGGGGGAAAGGGGGCCCAGTCCTGAGGGGCGACCTGGTGGCACTGCACAGCACCACGCCTTAGACATTGTATCCAGGTGTGTTCAGGTCTCTTTGAGGGGCGAGGAGCTGTTCTGGTGGTTTGATGCCACGGAATTGTTCTGGGTACTGGGTTTTGTCGAGTGGTGCCAGTTTCCTGTGCGAGCAGGAACAGTGAGAGCTAGAACTCGTGTACAAGCTTGTTCCTAGGGAAGGACTAAGGTCAAAACCGTAGAAGGCAGATTCTTTCCCCAGGTCAGAGAAAGGATGAAAACGGGAGACAACACTAAGTGTTCAAATGCCAGGAAGACTCTTGAAAGAATCAGGGCGTGAGGAGGAGGAGGACCCAGGCCAGGAGGGCCTAGACGGAGGATGGAGCTAGACAGCTTGAGGCGCATTTCATTGATTACCTTTTCCATGCGCTGGGGATGTCATGTGATCTAAAGGGACAGGGATGGGAGAGACAAACAGCTGCTCTAGTCCTGTGTTTACCAGTATTGATGCTATTGGATAGGCACAGCTTGTTTTCACTTTTAATCTTTGTTTTAAAAATGTTTATCATAGTAATGCATACATGTAAAAAAAATAAAATCTTCAAAAGAAAGTCAGCAGGCTCCTGCCCAATTCCAGCCCTAACCCCCATTCTAGGAGGTATAACATTCAAGTAGTAAAAAGAGTTCCAAAAAATAATCAGAGAAAAAATCCCTAAAAGCAATGACTTTGACTCTTTAATCTGTTTCTTATGACAATTACCTTCACATTGTAAATCATATTCCTTTTTTTTTTTGCTGAGGAAGATTCACCCTGAGCTAACATCCATTGCCAATCTTCCTCTTTTTGTATGTGAGCTGCCGGCATAGCATGGCCAGTGACAGACGAGTGGTGTAGGTCCGTGCCCCGGAACCAAACCTGGGCCACCAAAGCAGAGAACGCCGAACTTAACCACTAGGCTGCTGGGACTGGCCCTTAAATCTTATTCTTAGACTTCTATTTCTTGTTTTGTTTATTTTATACATCAACTTCATTTTTCTTACATGACTTCCATGTTTTTTTAGCTTTTTTTCCCAATAAATCTACGTGATTTTTTGGTGAATACAGCAATCAGTGTTTAGATCTTTATCACTCTACTCCTTAATTTTTACCATCAGATGTGTCATCTACCTACACTTCTCCATCCCAAATAATCCACCAAATCTGATACTCTTTTGACCCATCTCTTTTTTGGGGTGGAGTTGGAGCCCCCACAGCTCACCAGCCTCTGTTCCAATCTCTCCGTTGCTCTCTAGGCCACTGCACAGCCGTCCTCAGAGACTTCTCTGCTTCTCTCTCGGGTGGGATCCACCATCCAGGGTCCTCGTCTTCTTTATTTACTCTTTGTTTCATTGGCATTTACAATCCACATGTAGTTTCCCAAAAAAGAACACAGGGAGTGTAATTTTTCTGAGTCCTTTACAGATCTGAAAATATCTTTATTCCACTCTCAAGCTTGATTAAATTTTGACTAGGTATAGAATTCTAGATGGAATATCATTTAGCTTAGAATTTTGAAGCCATTTCTCCATAGTCTTTCAGAATCCAGTGTTCCTATTGAGAAGTTTGATATCATTCTGATTCTTTTCATATATGTCAGCTGTTTTTCCTGTCTCTGGAAGCTTTTAGGATCTTTTTACATTCATTGTGTTGGGCATTCTGTGGGCCCTTTTAGTTCTGGGAAAACGTTTGTATTATTTATTTGATAATTTCCTCTCCTCCCTTTTTCTCTCATTTTTTGGAACTCTTTTTACTAGTTGAATGTTATACCTCCTAGAATGAAATAATCTTTCATTTTTTCTTGTTTTCCCTCTCTCTGTCATTTTGTTGTGCTTCCTAGAATATTCCTTTCACACTATTTTCCAACCTTCTAATGATTTTTAATTTTAACGATCATGTTTTAAGTTTCAACAGCCTCTTTTGTTCTTTAATTGTTCCTTTTTCATAGCCCTCTCTGGTTTTCTGAACGTAGTATCTTCCTAGCACTCTCTGAGCAATCAAAATCAGTGTTTTGATTTTTTGAAAGCTCTCATTTACTTGTTCCCCTTTTCTGGTTCTATTTATATTTTCTTTCTTTCTGGAGGCTTTCCTCAAATGCCTTGGTCAATCCTTGGTGTTTGTATTAGTTAACTGGGGCAGCCATAATAAAATACCATAGACTGGGTGGCTTCAACAACAGAAATTTATTTTCTCACAGGTCTGGAGCCTGGGACTCCAAGATCAAGGTGTTGGCAGGGTTGGTTTCTTCTGAGACCTCGTAGATGGCCCTCTTCTCTCTGTGTCTTCACACGGTCTTCTTTGTGTGTCTGTGTCCTAATCTTCTCTTCTTATAAGGACACCAGTCAGACTGGATTAGGCTCCCACCCATATGACCTCATTTTAACTTAATCACCTCTTTAAAGACACTTTCTCCAAATATAGTCACATTGGGAGTTAGTACTTCAACATATGATTTTGGGGGACACAATTCAGTCCATAACAGCATTCCATTCCAATTGAAAAAAGTGAGACACTAACCCACTGATTGGAATCTGCTGTTTGTCTACCCCAGCCGCAGGTGTGCTGCCTTCAAGGTGCCACTTGGGGAGTCGGCTGCTTCATCGGGCACTCCCACATTTAAGTATGTGGCAGTCTTTTCTCTGGGGCTATCTTCTCGTCATAAAATAATTCTTCCATCTCCTCCCTCAGGGATAGCAACCTGGCTGCCGGGATCCCGTGTGTGAGGCAGGAAAGAGGATTGAGTGAGCCAAACGTTCCACATCCAGGTGACCCTCTGGACTTCAGCCCCAAGCTTCCCTCTCTAGAGGCTGGGCCTCTGCAGTCCCATTTCTCCAGAGAAGAAATTGCCAGGTTCCCATCTTGACTTTTCTGTGCAGGGAGGGGTGAAGAGAGCCGAGTGTTCTGTGTAGCCACTTGTCCTTTCCCAAAGCTCCCTGTGCGTCACCTGACACGCCTGTGCCTCCAAGCCCTGAGCTGCCCCACACTCTGCTAGGTTTCTTTCCATCTCAGAGCCCTCTCACTGCACACTTGGAGTCGTGATGTCCTCTGTCCTTCCAAAGCATTATCACACGTCCCATAGCTGCCAGTCTTCCAAACCTGTGTTGAAATCTCACATGCGTTGATGTTCCCTCTACCACTGTTTCCCCAGGAGGGTTTTTAGTTTTATTTTTATTTACAGTTGAGTCAAGAGGGAAAGGAGACAGACACACGTATTCAATCTACCGTCTTTGAAGGAAGCCTCTCAAGTCTTTCTTTTTCTTCTTTTTTGATAAATTATGAAATATTTCAAACATAAGGGAAATATAGAGAAAAATATCATGAACACTCTGTACACATCATCGAGCTTTATCAAACCTCATTATGTTGCTTCAAAGCTTTTTAAAAAATAAGTGTTGAGGACACAGTAGGAGCTCTTTACTCTCCTCCCCAAAGCCCTTCGCCATGGAGGTCATCACTTTATTATAAAACAGACTTTGTGTGAGATGATTTTGCCCAACTGTAGGCCAAGCATGTTTAAGTCAGGCTAGACTAAGCTAAGATGTTCAGTAGGTTAGGTGTATTAAATGCATTTTCAACTTAGGATATGTTCAATTTATGATGGGTTTATCCAGATGTAACCCCATCATAAGTCAAGGAAGATCTGTATACCATATGTATAAATTCCACTTAACTAGATATTGACAAAATGGTTGTACCATTTCACAGTCCCATTCATGGTGGACCACAGTTCTCATTGCCACTTTCTTTCCAGCATGTGATAGTCTATGTTTTTACATTTTTAACAGGCTGATTGGTGTTAAATCAGATTTTTGAACTAGAGACCTATACCTCACTCCAAGATGGATTGGGCATGTATAAAGGATGAATAAGTCTTCTTTCCCATTATTTCCTTTAGCCGTTTGCTCAGGAGTAGGGGCCAATGACTTTAAATGATATTGTATGTTTTATAAGCATGTTATACATTTTGATGTTAAGTAATCTTATGAATATCAGTTTTGTTTTTGCTGATAGAAAAAAGATACACTTTATCTTATCAAAGTATATGATAAGAAGTGATATCAAAATGATTGTTCTCAAAGCACTGAAAATTGAATTTAAGCCAAATAGATGATCTACAAACCATTAAAATATCTAATATAGCTTCTCTTAAATCCTTCTGATTTAGGAAATTGAAAATGGACCTTCGAAAATCCTAGGTTTACAATGAGAAATGTCATAATTCAATGTTTATTCTATGGATCCTTGACATTTGGGATCTGGACAGCTCTGTTATCTATATATTTTCACCGTAATCATGTGAGCAAACAGCAGAAGAAAATACAAAAGCCTTCACCAATTTGGTCTCTTGAAAAAAAATTGCAACAAGAAATTAACCATGGCCCAAAGCCAATACCAAGACCGCCTGTAAGAGTTGAAAGGCCTACCAAAGAGGAAATTAAAGAACAGAGGCCATTTTTAAAATTAGGTGAGTATTTTGATTTTCTCTGTTAGCCATTTTAAGGGGAAAATATATCATAAATTTAGTATTTAGAAGAATAAGAGGACGTCCTTTTTAGAGCAATTCAATTTTTAAATTATGAAATAATTCGTATATATACAGGCATACCTCAGAGATATTGGGGGTTTGGTTCCAGACTATTGCAATAAAGCACATATTGCAATAAACAGAGTCACCTGAATTTTTGGTTTCCCAGCCATTATTTTCAGCCATTATTTCTTAGAGTACTTTTTCAGTCTCACTCTCTCTCCTGTCGTCTGGGACTCCAACAATATCAATATTAGCTCTTTTGTTGTTAGTGCACAGGTCCCTGCGACTCTCCTCATTTTTTTTCAGTCTATTTTCTCTGTTGTTCAGATTAGGTGGATTCTATTGCTCTGTCATTGCCACTCTACCATTAAGCCCATTCAGCAAGTTTTTTATTTAGACTATGGTATTTTTTAGTTCTATAATTTCCATTTGGCTCTTTTTCTTTCTTTTTTTTCTTTCTTTTTTTTATAACTTCTATTTCTTGGCTGAGATTTTTTTCATTTGTTTCCAAGCATTTTTCTGATGGCTTTTTTAACATCCTAGTCAGATCATTCTGACCTCTGATTCATCTTGGTCTGGGCATCTATTGTCTTTTTTCACTCAATTTGAGATCTCCCTGGTTCTTAGTATGACAAGTGATTTTTTATTGTATTCTGGGCATTTTTGATATTATGAAACTCTGGTCCTATTTAAACTTCTTTTTTAGTAGGCCTTGCCCTGTTAAGATGCAGCACAAGGGCTGGGTAGGTGAGTATGTTTGGCTTCCTGCTGGCCTGCCAACACCACCCCAGCAACCATGGAGCACTGCCTCACTGTGGATGGTGGAGTGAAAGTTCAGCCCCTGACTTTGGTGAAATGGAGCACCAATTTGCATGACATTGTCGCCTATGAGTTTAGCTACCTGATGAGCCTCACTGACACCAGGGTTATGTTACGGGGAAAGCCGAGTGTCAACTATCCTGCCTTGCACAACCTGCTTCTCTCTTGTTGCCACGATGTAGGGGTGGAGGTTCAGCTCTCCACTGGGCCCCATGGATGTGAGGGGCAGGATGGTCATGGAGTAGTAACTAGCCCCACTTTGCACCACCTTGTTAACCCTTGTTGCTGCCAGGTGGGGTTGGAGGCTCAGCATGCCACTGACACGACCCTACCTTGGTGAGAATCTGAGCATCACCTGCTTCCATAGAGTGAGCTTATGGAGGACCAGCTCCCTGCTCAGTTGGCCCACAATGTTGGGTAATCAGAGCACTGCCCTCTTCTACCAGGAAGGAGGATGGAAGGGTAGGCTCTGCTCAGCACCACCAACACCACTGGGTGGGGAGAGGAGCACTGCCCTCTGCTCCCTTCAGGTGTGGTGGAAGACCTGCTCCCTGCCTGCCCCACTGAAGCTGCAGGGGGCAGTGTGGTTATCCCATTGGTGCTTGCCTAGAGTAGGCGCTGCCAAAGGTTTTCTGTGGTTGAGCCTCCCTTTTCCTGGCTCTGTGGTGAGCAGGAACAGGCTTGTCTTGGAGCTTTTTTGTCCATGCCTGTTGATGGTCCCACTGGGAGGCTTCTACAGCACCCTGTCTGGGATTTCTGGGAGGCAACAGGGAAATTGAGAGCTCCTTCCTCAAGTCCTCAGGCTCTGAGGTGATCTGCCTCCTTATTTCCACCTTTCAGAGCCCTCCTATGCTTATCTGTGCATTATGTTCAGGATTTTTTAGGTGTAAGAGAAAGGTCCTAGGGGAAATGAGACTACTGCTTCTTGATGGGAATCTCCTTTATATACAATATAGCCTTTTACATCAATTTTGGAAAACACTCCTTAGGCATTGGAAAAGAAAGTCTATTCTCTCAAAAAGAAAGCACAATATAAATCCACTAGGGAAACTTAACTAATCACATTATTCAAGCTCATTCTAACTTTTTCTCTGATTCAGAGTTGTTCTTAAAATAGTCCATTGCTGTTGATTTGTGGCAGTATATACTGATATTTCTAACCATTTTTCTTTAAGTATTTTGTCGCAGCATTATTTGATGTCTACAATCTCATAACTATTAAATCTTTATTGTGACTTATTCTTTTTTAAAATTAACTAATTAATTTTTTTCAGCACCAGTAGTCTAGTTTTTTTTTTTTTTTTTTTTTTTTTTTTTGTGAGGAAGATCAGCCCTGAGCTAACATCCATGCTAATCTTCCTCTTTTTTGCTGAGGAAGACCAGCTCTGAGCTAACGTCCATTGCCAATCCTCCTCCTTTTTTTTTTCCCCCAAAGCCCCAGTAGATAGTTGTATGTCATAGTTGCACATCCTTCTAGTTGCTGTATGTGGGATACGGCCTCAGCATGGCCGGAGAAGCGGTGCGTTGGTGCGCACCGGGGATCCGAACCCCGGCCGCCAGTAGCGGAGCACGCACACTTAACCACGAAGCCACGGGGCCGGCCCAATAGTCTAGTTTTTATCTGTCACCATACACATGTGCCCCTTCCCCCCCAACCTCCTTTTCCTCTGGTGACCACTAACCTATTCTCCTTATCTCTGTGTATGTTTGTTTATCTTCCACATGTGACTGAAATCATATTTGTATTTGTATTGTGACTTATTCTTAATGTGAGTATAAAATGACTCTCTGGATGCTCTTTCCAATGAATTCTATATTTTTTAAAATGATATTTTGACTCCCGTATTCTTTGACCATTCTTTCACTTTTATCCATTTTAATTCGTTCTGTTTATCTTTTATGATTACGTTTTGTTTTCTATTGCCGTCTGAGTTTTTATCTCTTATTATGAAATCTCCCCCAACTTCATTTATTGTTATGACTGATATGTTTGAGTTACCCTCTGTCATCTTGTTTTATTCCCTCTTATGGAATTTTGGAAGAGGGATTTCATCCTCTCACCTTCCCTAAATCCCTCAGTTACAATCATTTCACATGACAGTTGTGACTCATGATGGGACCAAGGAGGCTGAGCACTTCCTTCCCCAGAGAGACTCAGTGACTGAAGACTAGCTCGTTGTTCATACTTTGCTAAGTAATCTGCTTTGATTTGTGTTAATACTTTGATTTTAAGCTTGTCATCTGGGTTCCAAGAAAGTGACTCAGACTCATTATAAAAGGAGTGAATTCAGGATATAGTTGTTCTTACTGTTCTTTATCAAAGTCATGGTAGTAGTCTATATTTATGTAACTCTAATTACCTTTTCTTGTAGGTAAGGATTTTAACTTTTCAGACCCAGAAGTTTTTCATGGATTTTCAAAATATGGATTTAATACCATTATCAGTAAAATCTTGGGCAACGAGAGAGATGTGCCAGATACTAGGAATAAAATGTATGTTCCTTTTAATTATTTTATATTGAGGTATAATTGACATATAACATTATATTAGTTTCAAGTGTACAACAAAGTAATTTTATATTTGTATATATTGTAAAATGATCACCACCGTAAGTCTAGTTAACATTGATCACCATATAGAGTTACAAAAAAGTTTTTTTCTTGTGATGAGAACTTTTAATATCTACTTTCTTAGCAACTTTCAAATATGCAATAGAGTATTACTAACTATAGTCACCACGGTATACATTACATCCCCATGATTTATTTATTTTATCATGGGAAGTTTGTACCTTTTGACCCTGTTCACCCATTTCGCCCACCCCCTACCTCTGGCAAACACCAATCTGTTCTCTGTATCTGTGAGCTTGGTTTAGTTGTTGTTTTTTTTTCAGATTCCACCTGTAGGTGAGATCATACAGTATTTGTCTTTCTCTGTCTGGCTTATTTCACTTAACATAATGCCCTCAAGGTCCATCCATGTTGTTGCAAACGACAAGATTTCCTTCTTTTTTATGACTAAACAATATTTCACTGTATGTATATATATATAACACATTTTCTTTACCCACTCATCCACTGATGGACACTTAGGTTGTTTCCATATCTTGGCTATTGTAAATAATGCTGCAATGAACATGGGGGTGCAGATATCTTTTCAAGTTAGTGTTTTTATTTTCTTCAGATAAATACCCAGGAGTGGAATTGCTGGATCATATGGTAGTTCTATTTTTAATTTTTTGAGGAACTTCCATATTGTTTTCCATAATGGCTGTACCAATTTACATTCCCACCAACGGTGTACAAGGGTTCCCTTTTCTCCACATCCTCACCAACACTTATTTTCTGTCTTTTTGGTGATAGCCATTCTGACTGGTGTGAGGTGATATCTCATTTTGGTTTTGATTTGCATTTCCTTGATGATTAGTGACGTTGAGCATCTTTTCGTGTACCTGTTGACCATCTGTATATCTTCTTTGGAAAAATGTCTCTTCAGATCTTCTGCCCATTTTTTGATTGGATTGTTTGGGGGTTTTTGTTTGTTTGTTTGTTTTGGTATTGAGTTGTATGAGTTCTTTGTATGTTTTAGATATTAACCCCTTATCAGATAGGTGATTTGCAAATATTTTCTCCCATTCAGTAAGTTGCCTTTTAATTTTGTTGATGGTTTCTTTTGCTCTGCAGAACTTTTTAGTTTGATGTAGTCCCACTTATTTATTTTTGCTTTGTTACCTTTGCTTTTGGTGTCAGATCCAAAAAACCATCATCATTTTAACTGCTAGGAATAACTACCACTATCTGGAGTCCAAGCAGATTTTCAGCCATTATTGTAATAATTGTATTATTCCATTACATGGAATTTCCACTTCAGCTTTGCCTTACTTTGAAGTTCACATGATTATTTTCACTAGCTATAGAAATATTTTTTTTTTTTTTTTAAAGATTTTATTTATTTATTTTTCCCCCCAAAGCCCCAGCAGATAGTTGTGTGTCATAGCTGCACATCCTTCTAGTTGCTGTATGTGGGACGCGGCCTCAGCATGGCCAGAGAAGCAGCGCGTCGGCGCGAGCCCGGGATCCGAACCCAGGTCGCCAGCAGCGGAGCGCGCTCACTTAACCACCAAGCCACGGGGCCGGCCCCAGAAATATTTGATACAGATCTTTGAAGAGTAGATTTTTTGTGTTGCTTGGTCTTCTAATTTAATTTTTTATTTCTTAACTTTTCGATTTTGAAATAATTTCAGACATAAAATTGTTGTGAAAATATTTCAAAGAATTTTCATACAGACTTTTTTTAAATTCCCTAAACGTTAATATCTTCCATACCTTCAGAACAAGAACAATGAACAAAATCAGGAAATTAACATTTATACAATACATTAGCCAATCTACCAACATTATTCAAATGTTTATATTGCCCAACTAGGGTCCTTTTTCTGGAAGGATCCAACCCAGGACCACAGGTTGCATGCAGTGTTCCCGTCCCCTTAGTTTCCTTTCATCTGAAACTGTTCCTAAGTCTTTATCTTTCATGACTGTGACACAGTTGAAGAGATCTAACCAGTTATTTTCTAGAATGTTCCTCAATTTGAGTTTGATGTTTCCTCATGACCAAATGCATGTCATGCTTTTTTGGTAGGAATACCACAGAAGTGATGTTGTGTCCTTCTCAGAGCATCATGTTAAGAGGCACATGATGTCCACTCGTCTCATTACTGGTGAAGTTACTGGTGGTGAAGTTGCTTTTGATCACTTAATGAAAACAGCAGCTGTCAGATTTCTGCACTGTAAAATTACTATTTATCCTTTTGTAATTAATAAATGTGCAGATTTCTTTTAAATGTTAGTTACAAAAAACCTGAAAAATATTTAAAAAGCACAAAAGGGGAAAGTAAAAATACCCACAGTCTTACCACCGTTTCTTGTGTCATAATGCATAAAATATAACCTATCTTCCCCTGACCCAATACAGAGACCATCGTTCTCGATATTTTAGTGTATAGCCTTCCAGAATTTGTAGACACATGCACGTATTTATAAACAAACAGTAAACATACAGTATAATCATATACATTTTCTGATTTTTATATTTACTTTTTATCTTGTTCTGCAATATGTGTTTCTTTCACTTAACATATCATGGAGAACTTTTTCACAGCATTTCACATAAAATTTGCCTCATTAATTTTAACAATTGAGAGCAGTTATCCATTGTATAAATGTACAATTTCCCTATAAGAGAAATCCTATTATTTCAAATTTTTCAACTTTTCAAAAATGATGTAATAAACATCCTTGTACACATGTTTTTATGCATTCATGTCAATATTTATGGAGGAAAGATTTCTGGAATGAGATTTCTTAGTCATAGGGTTTGTTACATAGATTTGTTTTTCTTTTCCAGGATTTTTTATAAATGAAATTTGCTTAACATAATTATTTTGAAATTCAGTCATATCGTTGCAAGGAGTTCATTCCATTTTATTGCTGAGTAGTACTCCATTGTATGGATATACTACAATTTGTTTATCCATTCACTGTTGATAGATTGTTTCCAGTTTTTGTTACAAATAAAACTGGTATGAATATTCTTGTAAAGGTTTGTATGGACGGATGCGGGGCCGGCCCCGTGGCTTAGTGGTTAAGTGCGCGCGCTCTGCTGCTGGCGGCCCGGGTTCGGATCCCGGGCGTGCACGGACGCACCGCTTGTCCGGCCATGCTGAGGCCGCGTCCCACATACAGCAACTAGAAGGATCTGCAGCTATGACATACAACTATCTACTGGGGCTTTGGGGGAAAAAATAAATAAATAAACATGTATGGACGGATGCGTTTTTCTTCTTGTGTAGATATTTAAAAGTGGAATGGCTAGATCTTAGGGTGTATGTTTGACTTTTTAAGAAACCCACTTTTCCAAAGAAGTTGTATCATCTTACACTCCCACCAGCAAGGTATGAGATTTCCAGTTGCTCCTCATCTCCGCCAACATGTGGTATGGCCAGTCTTTTTAATTTTAGCCATTCTAATAGGTGTGTAGTGATATCTCATTGTGGTTTAATTTGCATTTTCCTGATGGCTAATGCTGTTGCAGATCTTTTCATGTGTGTATTATCTTCTTTATTGAAGTTCAAATATTTTGCCCATTTTTAAATTGGATTGTTTTCTTATTATTGAGTGTTGAGAATTCTTTATATGTTCCAAATATAAGATCTTTGTCAGATATATGATTGCAAGTATTTTCTCTTAGTCCGTGGCTTGTTTTTTCATTCTCCTAACAGTGGCTTTTGAAAAGCAAAAGTTTTTAATTTTGACAGAGTCCAATTGATTAATTTTACTTTAAAAAATTTTTTATTTTGCTTTCACCTAACCCAAGATCACAAAGATTTCTCCACTGGATTTTCTATATAGATGGCTATGTCATCTGCAAATAAAGGTACTTTTACTTCTTCCTTTCCAATCTGGATGCTTTTCTTTTTCTTAACTTATTGCACTGGCTAAAACCTCCAATTCAGTGTTGAATAGTAGGAGTGGTAAGAATGGACAACCTTGTTGTGTTCTTGATTCTAACATTCAATCTTTCACCAGTATGATGTTATCTATACATTTTTTCATAGATGTTCTTTTTTAGGCTGAGGAAATTCCCTTCTGTTCCTAGTTTGTTGAGAGTTTTTTCATCAGAAATGGATGTTGGATTTTGGCACATCCTTTTCTGTATATATTAGATGATAGTATGGGTTTTCTTCTTTAGTGTGTAAAGATTGTAAATTACATTGCTTGATTTTCTAATGTTAAACCAAACCTCTATTTTGGGGATATCCCCCACTTGGTCATGATGTATTATCCTTTTTAATACTGTTGAATTTGGGGCCAGCCTGGTGGCATAGCAGTTAGGTTTGTATGTTCCCCTTCGGCGGCCTGGGGTTCACTGGTTCAGATCTTGGGCACGGACCTACTCACTGCACATCAAGCCGTGCTGAGGCGGCATCCCACATAGAAGAGCTACAACTCTACAACTATGATACACAACTATGTACTGGGGCTTTGGAGAGAAAAAGAAAAAAAAAGAGGAAGAATGGCAACAGATGTTAGTGCAGGGCCAATCTTCCTCAAAAAAAAATTACATTGCTGAATTTGGTTTGCTGAAATTTTTTTGGAATTCTATATTATTGTTCATGAGGGCTATCAATCTGTATTTTTCTTTAATGTCCTTGTCTGGTTTTGTTATCAGAGTAATGTTGGCCTTGTAGAATGAGTTGGGAATTATTCCTTTAATACTTAATTTTTTGATGTTTGTGGTTGACTTCTGATACATACTTTTGATTGCACTGAGGACATTTCTTTCTATTCTTTCACTTGAACTTTGCTCCCTTATTTTATTAACATTCATGTTCCTTTTCTTTCTTTAAAAACAATTCTTCTCGTGGGTGTGTCACATGAATGCCAGAGGATTCTGGCAGAGCAACAGAAGTGCTCTATTGGTGGGAAAGTCCACTTTTGGCATGTGCACTGACTGGCCAAAGCTGCATCAATTGGGAGTGGGTTAATTTTGTTTTGGGATTTTATTTTAATCAGAAATGATTGCTAAGTTTTATCAAATGATTTCTCAGGACTGAATCAACATGATCATATGGCTTTCCTCCTTCCAATTATTGATAGCTTATGTTGAGCCATCCTTAACGTTCCTGAAATAAACTGACCTTAGTTATCCTATTCTCTTAAAATGCTGCTTTGTTTGATTTGCTAATATTTTAACTGTTTTGATCTGTATAAATGAGATTAGTCTGTATCAATGTTTCTCAAATTGAGATCCATGTATATATTCTCAGAGGTCTACAAATTCTCCAGGAGAATTTTAAAATTTTAAATATTACATAAAATTTTCCCATTTTTATGTAATATTTAAAAATTAATACATGTAGGGCTGGCCCAGTGGCATAGTGGTTAAGTTCGCTCACTCCGCTTTGGCAGCCCGGGGTTCACAGGTTTGGATCCCAGGCATGGACATACACACCGCTTATCAAACCATGCTGTGACAGGTGTCCCAAGTATAAGGTAGAGGATGATGGGCACAGATGTTAGCCCAGGGCCAATCTTCCTCAGCAAAAAGAGGAGGATTGGCAACAGATGTTAGTTCGAGGCTAATCTTCCTCACACACACACACAAAATTAATATATGTATATACAGGATGACAACCTTACTATAGGCACTCAGATTCAGTAGGTAATGAAAAAGAGTAGTGGTAGACTTAATAGATAAAGGATGTCAGACAGAGGCAGACTTAATACATAAATTATGTAAGTTATGCCAAATTACTTTACAGCGTGTTGTACCAATAAAGTTTTTTTTGCAATATTTCAAACACAAAAAAAGTGCTGGGAGAGTTGAGCAGTCACATAATACACAGTAGTACAGTCTGATCAAGTTTAAAGAAACTTTCCTGTAACAGGCAGTACAAAGGTTGTAAGTGGCGATTCATTTCAGCAAAATACAACCTGAAATTAAAATTAGTTTATTAATTGGAATTTAACTGTTTTTAGCTGTATTTCACTATTTTAACTGTTTTATTTATAGCTGTGTAAGAGCTTATAAACACAAAGAGATTCTACCTAATTTTGTTTGTTTGTTTAAGCATATTTAGGAAACATTAAAGTAATTTAAATCAACTCTGGAAGTTGAGATCTTACTTTCTCTTTAAAAGAAGTCTATGCATGACTCAAGTTTAGGAAACCCTGGCTCATGTTTTTCTTTTTTGTGCCTCTGTATCAGATTTTGACATCAATTTATACCAGCTTCACAAAATGAATTTGGATGTTTTCCATTATCTCTATGCTCTAAAATAGTTGAAATAATATAATTATCTATTCTCTATGTTGAAATAGAACTTGTCTGGTAATTATGTCACTGGTCCATTTTCTAGTGGCAGACGTTGAAAAACTTTTAGTTTCTTCTAAGGTTATTTATCGTTCTGCTCCGGCTTGCTACTTCTAGGGTCTATTTAGGACATTGTATTTCAATAAAAATCCATTTCACCTATTTTTCGATTTTATTGGCATAAAGTTACACATCCTAATTTCATAATTCTTTTTATCTTCGCTGGTACCATAGTTTCTTTCTCATTCTTATTGTTGTACATTTTCCCTCTCTTTCTTAAGCTTATTAGGGGTTGGTCTATATTAGTCATCTTTCAAAATATCAACTTTTGGTTATATTTATCAATTTTACTTTTTTGTCTTCTAATTCATCAATTTCTAGCTACCTTTATTGGATCTTTGTTCTTTCTTTTGGTTCTTTTTGTAGTCTTTTTTACCAGTTTTTAAGGTTAAGTAGTTTGATTATTTTATCTCTTTCTTATATAATAATAATACATTTATAAGTATTCATTTTAATCTGATTAGGATTTTAGCCATATACCTTAGGTTTTAACATGGTGTGTTTTCATCTTTATTAATCTTTAAATAGTTTTCAATTTTTAATTTCCTCTTTGATCCAAGAATTATTTAGAAAAATGGGTTAAGATCAAATTTAAACAAATGAATAATACTTACAAATTTGTTTGTCATCTAGGACCATGTTTTTCTAAAATGCTTGAAAGATTGTCATTTTGTCATTTTAAGTAGTGCCCCTGCCCACTAGACCCTTCCAACTCAAAGTGTGGTCTGAGGGCCAGCAGCACTGGCAGCCCTTGGGAGCTGGTTAGCCACGCTGAATCCCAGGCCCTACCCCAGATATACTGAATCAGAATCCTTATCTAGCAAGAAGCCCAGGGGATATGTATGCACATTAAAATTTAACATCCTTCTCTTGGTTTAGTAGGGCTGTTGTAACAAAGTACCGTAAACTGGGCGGCTTAAATGACAGAAATGTCAGAAATCAAGGTGTTGGCAGGGTTGGTTCTTCTGAGGGCTATAAGGGAATATCTGTTCTAGGCCTCTTTCCTTGGCTTGTAGATGGCCATCTTCTCCCTGTGAGCATCACCTTCCGTCTGTGAGCATCTGTCCTGGGTCCTAATTTTCATTTTTATAAAGATACCAGTCTTATTGGATTAGGGACACCCTAATGACATCATTACATCTGCAACAACCCCATTTCCAAATAAGGTCACATTCTGAGGCACTGGGGGTTAGGACTTCATCATATGAATTGGGGGGGGGGCATAATTCAACCCATAATAGTCCTGTTTTATACTATATGGTTGGTAATCTATACAATCAGCAAAGAATAGATCAGCTAACCAACGACAGTCAAACTCAGGCCTTGTCCAAATTATTTTTACCCTGAAAAACGTGCTTATTTAGGTCAGAAAAGTTTTTCTATATAGAAAGACCACAGCAACATTTGTCAATTAATTTTAGAAAAACCCATTCACACCGGGTTTCTCTTAGGGGTCTATAGAGTCCTCACGTGACATGGTTTCAGGCTACTTCACCATCACTGTCTCATTCCTCCAAAGAGGCTTAGGTTATCTATAGTCTTCTTAAAATGATATATCCGGGACTGAATATAATATTAGAGATGTGATCTGAGTAGCACAAGTTCACCCTGGACCAGCATGTCTCTCATTCTTGGTGTTATCCTTCCATTCTCTTTCTCTCTCTCTCCCTCTCTCTCTCTGTCTTTCTCATTGATTTCCTCTTTGATAACTCAGTGATCTTACTGGAATTGAAGGCTTTTAATCATTTTCCTACATGTTTCTATGAAGCCTCATTTTCCCACTTGATGTTTTAGCCCCATGTACAGGATGTGGCACCCACCCCCTTTCCCGTGTCTCAGGTCTTTTCTTGGTTTTCTCATCTCTCGTATTCTCATTCCTTCTAGCAGGATGTCAGCTTCTACTTGGTAGGCACGCCTTCTATATTGTCATCTCGTCTTGCATAAAAACGCTGACCAGGACAAGGCCCTCTTCTTCCTTGGTGACATCAAGCCATGAATACGCTGAAGGGCTGTCCAGGACCCCATTGGACTGCCTACCAGCACCTCCCTTCCCGTGCTTCCTGCCCCATTCCCCTTTCCACGTGGACGCAGTGGGAATAGTGACTTTCTATTTTGACCCCACTCTCTGGCCACAGTTGATTAGCCCAGGGATGGGCACCTGAGCCAGGTTGGGCTAATGAATTCTTTCCTGTGAATTTTTGGGAAAGAGAAAATCTTACCAGTTTCTCCTTGGGTGCTGGACTCTAAGATATGCTGATGTCAGCCACATTTCCCACACTGGGGTAAAGAAGCGGAAAAAAGCCAAGTTGCAGAGAGAGAATAAGAATCATATAATGAGCCTTATACAATACTTACTACCTGCCAGGCAGTGTTCTGAGCATTTTACATGTATTAATTCATTGAATTCTCACAACCTATGAGAGGTTGATGTTATTGTTATCATTATCATTATCCCCAGACATAAAGACAGAGCAGAAATGGAGAAAGTGTCCAGGTGGCTGTCAAGCCTCTAGTTCCAATCGCTCTCAGAGGCTCCGCCGCATGCCTGTCACTAGGTCCTGTGAGACATTTGGGTCCCCTTACAATATACCTCTTTTTCTTATGCTTAAGCTAGTTCCAGTGGATTTGTCATTTACAACCAAAATATTTCAAAATACAACAAAAAATGTAGCAATCCAAACAATACTTAACAGCTAATAACTAATCTTATTAGAATTCAGCTTCTATTTTTCTCTCAATTCTACATACACAAAAAAACATTTTTATCATATCCTTGGAAGAAATCCAATTACACCATATCCACTGCATTTCTTTGTTGCAACAGACTCACAAAATAAGAAAAAGCACACATTTTCTTTGAAGACAGTGCAATCAAGTTAATTTGAACCTTCTAATATGTATAAGTTTGTTAATTCGTTTTTATAATAGAAACCAAAATACAGGTATAATTTGTGTTTATACTACGTTCAAAATAGAACTAATATCAAAACAGAGTCTTAAGAAGAGCAATTATCACTGACATTAAGAAGGAGGGAATGATTTAGAAAATATTAGAACAGCATAAGAAGTTAAAGAAATTTTTGTATCTTAATTTTTGTGTTTTTAAATATACTGTCACATTATTATCATAACCATCAATTAAAGAAATAAAGAAGAAAAACCTGCAAATAAAGATGTTTGAATGAGACCCCAAAACATCGAAGGCTTTTAGATGAATCGTTTTCTTCCTCTTATTTATGCCTGCAGGTGTCTTCAAAAATATTACCCAACCAGTCTGCCTACTGCCAGCATTGTCATTTGCTTCCACAATGAAGAATTTAATGCCTTGTTTCGGACAGTGTCCAGTATCATGAACCTCACTCCACACCATCTCCTTGAAGAAATTATTTTGGTAGATGACATGAGCGAATTTGGTAAGACAGAGCGCTAGTAATCCATCTAATCTACTTCGAAGGCAGTGCTGTCTCTGATGGTGCTCCAGTTATTTTATACAAAGGACGTTTTTCGCTGGGTTTTGAGGCAGGTGCTGTGCTGGGTGCCGTTGGTACGTTGGTGGATGGAAGAACTGGTCCCCGTCCTTATGGTATTGGGCTAATGGGGTGGTTAGTGCTTCCATGAGGTAGATGTAGGGCCACCAACCTGGTCTCTAGACATCATCAATGACGTTCAGGAAGAAGTTACATCTAAACTGAGGTCTGAAGGGTGAGTTGGAGTTATCTAGATGGAGAGGAAGGAAAGGATGTTTTAGGCAGAAGAAGTAACATTGTAAAGGCTCAGAGGCAAGAGAAAACATGATGAGTTTGGAATAGTTCTATATTTTATGTAGTTTATCTATGAGGGGGTGGGGGTGGGCATAAAACCAGAGATATCAAAGGGCAACCACTCATGAAGGGCATTGTTTGAATTTTATCTGGAGAAAATGGGGAACTATTACAGGGCTTAATGCAGGTAAATGACACGATCCAGGTACTTTATGTGAAAGAATTCTAATCAGACCATCCATAGTTAAGTGCTTGTTCCTCCATGCTCACTGGCTTTAAAGAGTCATGAAACTAGTATAAAATCTGATTAACGACACAGCATTTGAAATTAGTTTTCTATTTTACATTTACAAGCCTGTGGCAAGCCAAGAGGACCCAGATTAGTGAAAAGATCTGTGGAGTCTGCAGGTCCCTGTGGGGTCCATTTCCCATGGAAGCAATGGATCAGTATTGCATAGGTTTCCTGCCTAAAAGTTTAACTAATCCACTGTGAATCTGACCCACTGTGGACTGGGAAAGAAAAAGAAGAGAGAAACAGTAGGAAGAGGAATAGGCAAGGGAAGAAAAGAAGACATCCCAGGAGGTTCACCCGTTGGGAAGTGACCCTAGGTGCATCAATTCAAAGGTGGACTGTAACTCAGCTAATGTCAGCTATATTTAGGAATTTCACATGTTAGCCAGGCACTATCATATACGACATTATTTCAACAGGCGCCACCCATATTGGAGGGGTACAGTACTGTTTATTTCTAGTCCTGTGCATGGGAGGAGATGTGGAGAGATGATCAGAGTCCTTGTCTGATCAGTAGCACTGAGCAACACATTGGGCACATGCTGGGCGAGAAGTCCCCAGTGAAGCCATGAGCAGGGAACAGGGTAGGATCTTGTAAGAACAAGGGTCCTGCCATGGAGATGCAGTTCCAGGATGACCATAGGACACCTCCCCTAGCCTTTCAGAACCATGCCATGAGTTCAGAGACATACCTGCTGATCTGCTCATACTTTCTTTAGTCATCAGGGAAATCACTGCTGATGGCCAAGATATGGGTGTGCTGCCAGATCAGACACCTCTGCTTCTTGATCCATGGTCACCTGGTTTGTGGTGATTTTACCCACCCCACCAAGGAACTTTGTCTTGGGCCCACATGGAAGCTCAAATACAGGAAATGCAGGAAGGGGGGTGTTCTGTGTTCTGATGGAACTCAGGATCAACACACTCCAGCTTATAATTCACAATGGTTTCATGTGGGCTCTAGGAGAACATTTTTGATCTGCAGCTAGTCTTTCCCAGCTGACACCAGTAGGCACTGCTGATGGACTCCCTCAGCCTAGGGAGCAGGGGATGGGGGCCCAAGGATCTGGCCCCATTGAGGGACACAAGAGGCATGCTCAGAGCTGACCTGCTGCCATCCACCTTTCTCATAGTCCTGGTCCCTCTTGACTACAAGCCAAATATGACCATCTTCTGAAAAACCCAAGCCCTCCACTTCATGTCAGCGATTGCTGCTGCCAGAACTGCCTTTATTTCCTCCCAGATCTGGCTCACAGAGTTCCCCTGTGTCCTGGATGTTAGAGAGGTGTTTGCAGACATCTGAGCTGAGATCCTGCCCCCACCTTGCAAGTGAAGGTGGGCAGCCTGCAGTCTGCCTCTGAGCAGGACCCTGGTACTCTTTTTAAAGACAAAGAAGGAGATCCCTCCTTCTGCCAAGATTACAATGAACCTGCTTCTGTTGATCCCCAACTTCCTGATCCAGAATCCTAGGACTTAGGAATTTATACTTCTGAGGCATCTGTATCCATCTCACCTGAGCCCAGCCTTCTTTATCATCATCACATTAACCTCCAAATATTGAGTGACTATTAGGTACCAAGCTCAGTGCTGAGTGGGGTATTTCTTCCTCTCACTACAGCACTGCAAGGAGTGTGGTGGATATCCCTTCTCACCAACGAGGAAACTGAGACTCGAGTGGTCTGGTAACTTGCCTAAGAGTTACTGCCAAGTTAGAAGCACAGTTGTTAGTAATAAAGTCAGATTGCTCCAAGGCACCATAACTCATGTTTTTTCTATTAAAATTTTAATAGTGATTTATTAAAATAGAAGTATTTCGCTAGAAACATAGAAGAATATTTACAGTTCATTTCAATGCTGAATCACTTTTCTTTCTCTTTCTTACATAGGATAGAATTTTCTTTCTAAAGTTAGAACATTTGGAGAATAGCATGACTTTTAGGAATCAATCAAAACTGTGATAAATTGTTTTAATTTCTGTAGTTATTGTCCGTAAATAGTCGTGTTGGATTTTTTTCCAGATGATCTGAAAGAAAAACTAGACTATCACCTGGAATTTTTTCGGGGGAAGATTAAATTAATAAGAAACAAAAAGCAAGAGGGACTGATTCGAGCAAGGCTGATTGGAGCATCTCGTGCTTCAGGTATGAACTCAGGACAACGACCCAGTGTCTATGTCACAGAGATCTTCCTGCCCATGCAGAAATAATCGTCATGGAGGCCCTGTATGTCTCCAGAGACAAAAACAGAAGAGTAGAAATATATTTCCGCCATGTGAGTCTTTAATCTTCTTTTGACTCTGAAAGTGTTCTACTTCAAAATGTCAATTTATTATTTCAAATAGAAGATATTCTTTTGCAGGGGCCGTAATGTCAGCCCCTGTCACAAGATGAGTTCCCCCAGATACAAACTCTGAGATGGAGTTGTACATGCAGGGAACCCACTGGGGTGCTCTTGGGAATCATGTCTGTAATGGAGTGAGGAAAGCAGGACGTTACGGGGAGAGTGGAGCTGTGGTGCAGCTGCCTATCCCACAGGAAACTCTGCCGCTAGGATGGGTGGCAGCTCAGGGCCTCCGGGAAACAGAGGCCAAGATGAAATGAGAAGAGAACAAGTTTACTAGGAGAAATGTTTGTGCAAGATAAAGGGGAGAAGGAGAAGTGTGGGCCAGAAGCTTCTGACCTGACACCTGTCCAAGGACAGAGAGAAGGAAGGAGATTTGGGTTGAAAGAGCTTCAGTCTACTCTTTGGCTCTCAGAAAGGCTCCCTTGGGCTAGTGGGGAGCCCCAGATCACCCGTTAGAGAAGTCCTGCATTGGGCCCAAATGGTGCAGCTCTAGTCCTCTCCCCTCCCATCTCCCTCTCCCCCTTTTGCCCCGCCCCCCCCAACACACACACTGCTTAGTCATTGGCTGGGAGCCTCTGGGGAGACTGTGGCCTTGGTGTGAATACTGCAGTAGATCCCAAAGGTTTGGAAGCTGTCAGACCCACTCCTCACAGCAAGTTCTCTTAAAGGGAAATCTGAGCTCCCTGAGCCACCAAGAGCAGTGCAGAGAGGTCCCACATCCAGGTAAGAGGACCAGGCATGGATGAGGACACCCCCTGCCCCCTGGGGAAGGGGCATCACCTCCACCCAGGGCAGTTCCTGGGGAGGGACTCAGCTGTGAGCCACCAGCAGTCAGCACTGCTGGGAGATGAGTCCTGAGGGGGATCTGAGCCTTCCAACTATGAAGCTTCCTGGAAACTTGAATGGTCAGAGGGTTGTTTGCAGAATATTAAACTACAACCAAAGGAGATGGGTAATGTTCAAGGGTATTTCATCAGACCACGTTGCAATCTGATAAAACCTCTCTGTTTCTTAGCAGAGGCACCTCCTTACTTAGTAGAAAGCCAAGTAAAAGCAAAATTCAGTTCTCTTTTTCTATGTTGGCCTGATCAATTGAGACATTCTCTTAACTACACAGATAATACATATTCATTGTGCAAAACACAATACAAACCACTAACACAGCATGGTGTGTGTCTTTTCAGACTTTTGTTTTTATGTATTTATATACATGTGTATATGTATGTATATACACACATGTACACACATACATACACATATACATATCTTTAAAGATTTTTAAATGTATGGAATCATACTATCTTATTGTCCTGAGACTTACTCTTTTAATTTAATTTTAATGGTTTGGAACGGAATTTTTTCCATGACGGTACTTAAGACTTACCTCAGGTTTTTTTTTTTAATTTTATTTATTTATTTTTTCCCCCAAAGCCCCAGTAGATAGCTGTATGGCATAGTTGCACGTCCTTCTAGTTGCTGTATGTGGGACGCGGCCTCAGCATGGCCGGAGAAGCAGTGCGTCGGTGCGCGCCCGGGATCCGAACCCGGGCCGCCAGCAGCGGAGCGCACGCACTTAACCGCTAAGCCACGGGCCGGCCCGATAACCTCAGTTTTTAATTGCTGCATAGTATGACATTCCATATGGATTCCATAATGGATTGTGGTAATTTGTTTAGCCATTTTTCAATTGGTGATTTTTATTTTATACTGTTACTCAAAAAAAAAAAAAAAAAAACCATGCTGCACTGGCAATTTTTGTAATTCTTGGCAAATGTGTGCTTGTCCCTATGGGATAAATTGCTATAAATGGAATTGCTGAGCAAAAGGGAATTCTTATTTTAGATTTTGATGGATACTGCCAAATTGTCCCAAAAACGACTGTACCAATTAACAGTCCCATCACAGGGTGCAAGAAGGCCTTTTCCCTGGAGCCTAGCCAGCACTGGATATTACCAATTATTCTAATGTTTGCCAAAATGGTCAAAAAATTATATCCTTTATTTTCTTGGCATTTCCTTGATTACTAGCATTGTAGAGTATTTTTAAAATATTTTTGTAGGTTGTTGATAGATTTTTCTGTGAATTTTGTCTGTTCACATCCTTTGTCAATTTTTTGATTGGGTTGTTTGTATTGTTGTTATTGATTTCAAAGTGTCCTTTATGATACAAATCCTGTATTATATACACTGAGGATATCATTCCCCACTCTATGGCTTATCTTTCCATCCTCGTTGATGGTATCTTACGTTGAACAAAAGTCTTTAAGTCTTTCAGTTCACCAAAAAATCCATTTTCTCTTGCTGGGCACAGAGCTAGACTGAACTTTCTAGCCTCTCTTTCAGTAGGAATGGCCTTGTGACTACCTTTTAACTGCGGGATTTAAGTGCAAGTAATACATGCCATTTCTCCACCAAGGCTTTTAGGAGGTTGATTTGTCCCCCTCCACACTTTACATCCCCTTCTGGCTGACAAGGGTGGAGATGACTAAGTGACTTTGGAGGCCATGAGGTTGAAGATGGAAGAGCCTCCATCAGCCTGAATGGTTCCGTGGAGAAGAGCTCCCCTCAATCAGAAACACCTGCCTTGGACTACTAAATGAGGAGAAATAAGCTTCTATTGTGTTTGAGCCGTCATACATTTTGGAGTCTTAGTATTATAATAGCAACTAGCTTTAACTTAAATAGTAAGATAATCAGATTTATCAATATTTTTCTTTATGATTTTTGTGTCTTGTTTAAGAAATCCTTCCTTACTCTGAGATCATGATGATAGTCTACCTTTTAAAAAATTTTGCTTTTTACATCTTTAATCAACCTAGAATTGATTGTTTTGGGAATGCTGTAAGGTAAGAATCTAATGTAATTTATGGATAACCAGTTGTCCCCACACCATTCATTGAATAGTCCACTCTGTCTCCATGGATTGCAATGCTACTTCCATCACTTGTATCTATATATTCCTGGGTTTATTTCTGGCATCTCTCTTCTGCTCTATTATTGTATTTGTATATTTCTAGGCTAGTCACACCCTCTCTTGATTAGTATAGCTTGATAAGAAGTTTTTATATCTGGTAGGACAAATATTTCCACTTCATTCTGCAAAATTGTCTTAACTAGGATCATCTTATTAAGTTCCATGAAAAATCTATTGAAATTTTCATTGCAATTGCATTGAGTTTATAGTAAAATGTGGGAGAATTTACATCTTTCTGATGATGTCTTCCCACCCATGGACATTTATTCAGATCTGCTTTCATGTTCTTTCAATAATGTTTTATCATTTTCTCCATAGATGTCATATGAAAAGATTTATTCCTGTTTATCATGATTTTTTTTAAATTGTGATCTTCCTGTTGTATTTTCTAATTATCATTGGTATATAGGAATGAGATACTTTTGTTTATTTGATTTTATAACCAGAAGCCTCCATAAACTCTCTTAATTGTTAATGGTTAGTTGGTAGAGTCTCTTGCATTTTCTATCAACTGAAAATAGACAATTTTTTCCTTCCTCCTCTCTAACGTTGACTAGAAGTGGCGATAGTAGGCATCCTTTCCTTATTCCTAACTTTAATGGGAACAACTATACATTTTCACTTAAATATTATGTTTACCAGTATTAGTTTGCTAGGGCTGCCCCATAACAAAGTACTACAAACTGGGTGGCTTAAAACAAAAGAAATTTATTGTCTCACAGTTCTGGAGGCTAGAAGTTCAAAATCCAGGTGTCAGCAGGGCGGTGCTCTCCCTGGAAGCTATAGGAGAGAATCCTTCCTTGTTTCTTCCTAGCTTCTCATGGTGGCTGTCAATCATCACCTTGCTGCTGCATTACTCCAGTCCCTGTCTCTGTGGTCACATGGCTTTCTCCCTGTGTGTCTGTCTGTGTCCAGAGCAACCTCTCCTTCTAAGGACACCAGTCGTATTGGATTAAGAGCCCACCCTGCACCAGTAAGACCTCATCCTAATTAATTACATCTGCAATGACCCTATTTCCAAATAAAGTCACGTTCTGAGGTACTAGGGCGTAGAACTTGAATATATCTTTTTGAAGGACAAAATTCAACCCTTAATACTACCATAAAGTTTGTGTTTTTTTAAGGAGAAGGAGTAAAGAGTCTTATTAATTTTTTATTTTGAAAATTACCAAACACACAGAACAGTTATATAAACCCTCCCCTAGATTCACTAGATGTTAATATCTTACAATACCTACTCCGTACACACCCATACTCTCTCTCCCTCTCCCCCACCATCCTTACACACACACAGACACACACACACACACACACACACACATTGCATTTAGGTTTATAATTTTCTTTTTTTTCTACTGTTTTCTTATACTTTGTTTTACTAGACACATAGAATGAATTGTATGGTTTTCCTCTTTTCTGAATATCTACATAAAATAGATTATCAGTGTTTGGAAAGTTACATAAAATTGGCCTATAAACTGTCTAGGCACTGGTACCTTTTTGGTTTTCTCTTTAATCCAGGTATTTTTTAAGAAGTCAATTTTAAAGTTTCCAAACATAAGAAATTTTTTAAATTGTCTTTTAATTGTTGACTACTAGCTTAATTGTATTGTGGTTAGAATCTGTGGTCTGTTTTGTTGAGATTTCCTTGTGTCTTAAAGTTGGGCCGATTTTTCAAAACTTCTATGTGTATTTAAAAAGAATGTAAATTTTTTCTGTTTGGTTGTAGGTTCTATATGTATATCATTTTGTTGTTCAAAGATTCTGTATTTTTATTCATCTAATTTGACTTTAATAAATTTCTGATAGAGTTATATTAAAATCT